TACGATTTTTTTCAAACCAAGTAGAAATAAATTGGTTTTAAGGCTCAAACAACAACTTAAGTTGAATGAGATAATAGGAAACACTGTGTTGAAGCTTAAATGGGCATGAGCCTATCTTAACTACAAATCTGCCTTGATCTCCATGGGATTCCTGTCTTTCTTTCGGCATGGTGAACTTGCCTCCCCCACCTACCCCCCACCCTGAATGTGTCTCTCTTCCAAACCATGAAAAGAACCTGAAGCATTGACTATAAAATCAGAAATACAAAGAGCTAAATAAAGGCCTGTAGGTTTTGAGTTTTTAGTAGCTATTCTTAATTATTCTTACATGTTTTCAACCCTAGTTTTTTAACTAGGAATTTTATTTACACTGCTTATTTCTTTTTTAACAAGAACAATTTTAACACTAAATTAAGGGTTTTGATAAGCTATGGATATGAAAATAAAAATACTATTTCATAATAAGTTTCAATGAAAATTTTATTGAACACTTACTTTTGTGTATGCATTGGTTTAGAATGAGAAGCATCTGTGGTTATCAGGTTACCTAGTATTTATTGTTAATATTTAAACAGCTCTGTGTACCTCTGGAAGATTTTCTAAGCCCCTTATCTTTTCTTACTTCTTGGTCTTATCAACCTGGTGCACTAGATGTGATTTTTTTATCCCTGTTTTACAGATAGGAGAACTCAGCCTGTGCACATGTGCCCCCATTGGAACAGTCACCACTTTTTGTCTGTTCTGTATATTGGGCTAACATGAAAAATTTTGTTTGAGTGGAAAAAGCATGGCAGAAGAGATTTGAAAACCTCTCACCTACACCGTGCTATATACAAATACATAGATACTCTTGAGTTTTATCATTTCTATTTTTAGTAGGAAGTAATTTGAATTTATTGAAGACACAAACTTTCTAAAACGCAGTTAGGTTCTAAAATATTCTTTAGACTTAACCATTTTTGAAATACATTTTCATTGCTCACATTTTAAATTGTTCTGATTCAACTAAAATTTAAAATGTATTTGTCTTGGCTTTAAAACCTCTAAAATAAATCTTAGGGACATATAAAGTCATCTATGTGTTTAAATGGTGCATAATGAATGTTACATTGCAAAAAAAGAATTATGTATGTGGAATGGCAAGAGGGACTTGTCATGTTTTTACAGTTCAAATTATAGGAACTAATTGCTTGAGGACAATAAAATAACATTAAGAATTGTTAATATTTTAGGAATTGAAACATTGATTGTAAACTCAGAAATGAATTCATAAATGATGTACACATTTGGTTATATTGGGCATATACACTTTGTATTAAATTACGTGCAGTAAGACACATCGTTACACTTACCCAGTAATATTTTTACCCAGTAAAATTTTTTAAATTTTAAATTTTTAAAAATTTTTTACCCAGTAAGAATTTTTAATATTTTCCCCAAAAATGGGGGTGTATGTTTATGTATTTATTTATTTATTTATTAAGTAAGTAATCTCCACACTCAATGTGGGGCTTGAACTCACAACCTCAAGATCAAGAGTTGCATGCTCCACCAACTGAGCCAGCCAGGTGCCCCACCTATGTTCCATTTTTAATTGATGCTAGAGCTTTCTGTGTAAATGGTACAGTCAGAGCAGAATATGTTGGGGGTGGGGGAATAGCTGAGAGTCAGCTAACCCACAATGTAATTACTTATGTTTCATTAGGGAAGAATGATTTGGTTCCTCTCTCTTTTTTTTTTTTTAAAGATTTTATTTATTTATTTGACAGAGATCACAAGTAGGCAGAGAGGCAGGCAGAGAGAGAGAGGGGGAAGCAGGCTCCCTGCTGAGCAGAGAGCCCAATGCAGGGCTCAATCCCAGGACCCCTGGGATCATGACCTGGAGCTGAAGGCAGAGGCTTTAACCCACTGAGCCACCCAGGTGCTCCCTTGGTTCCTCTTTCTTGAATAAAATGTCCTTTCTGTGAGCAATGAGACATCTAATCTTGATTACTTAATATGATTTGAGAACTCTGTTTTAGTGTGCTATCTTATGTTGACATTTTGAACTTCTCAAATAAAATGTGGATAAACATGGGAGCAGGGAAGGTCAAAAGTTTACAAAAACTAGTTAGTAAATGTTTATCTGAAAATTTAACTGATTTATAGCTCTGATACTGTCTTGAACTTTCTAGTAAAAATGAGCAATAGAGGGACACCTGTGTGACTCAGTGGGTTAAGCGTCTACCTTTGGCTCAGACCCTGATCTCCGGGGATTGAGCCCCACATTGGTTTGAGTATTGGGCTCCTTTCTCAGTGGGGAGTCTGCTTCTTCCTCTCCCTCTGCTCCTCCCCACACCTCTTACATTCTCTCTCTCTATTTCTGGCCCTTTCAAATAAATAAATATTTTTTTAAATGAGCAATCGATTGTTATTTTAAAAATTCACTAGTATTTACTTAGTTTGGTGTTAATACAGCATAAATTAATCACCATATTACCTCTATATTTGCTATTTTAAAAAAGGGAAGATAAAATTGTAAGAATATAATGTGTACTTCTAATTTTTTAGTGCAGTAGCAAAAATTGCCCTTTCTCCCCTCAAAGTTTTATATGGTATCTGACTTCCTTCTTCAAACAGTTGCAGGAACCATATATTCCTAAAAGTCAGCCTTATACATTTCAACCAAAAAGATGCAAGAAAGAAGAGAAGTGTTCATAAAGTAATCAAGCCATAGCTTTAGCATTAGGAATGTAGGTTTATAATTTAAAGCGTCTCCCTTCAGCTCGGGTCATGGTCTCTAGGTCCCGGGACCCTCTTCTGGCTCCTGGCTCAGCGGGGAGTTGTCCTTCCCCTCTCCCTCTGCCTCTCTCCCTGCTCATGCTCTCTCTCTCTCTGTATCTCTCTGTGTCAAATGAATAAATAAGATCCTAAAAAAAAAAAAAAAAAGCAATGGGTCAGTTGGCAAGTTCATGTGATGAGAGATTTGAATATTATCAGGTCTGGGAGGGAGATGAAATGGAAATACAGAAGAAAGCTTTGAAATGTTGCTCATTTGTTACCCAAGATTAAAAAAAAAAAAAAAATAGGTCAGGGCGAAATTGGTACAGATTATTTGAAACAAAATCAGGGTGGCACATGAATACCTAGGATTGGTGACAAAGTGTGCGATAGAGATATGTAAAAATAACTACACTGTTTTTCTTCCGTCTTAGACATTTTTCCTACATTAAAATCTTAATATTTTATCCATCCAGTCTAGTGGAGTGTGAGATATTTTATTTCACTTTCACTTCCATTGTTTAAAGCAACAACTTGGTACTGAAAAAGATAGTTTCTATTCTTTTAAAACATTTCCTGGAATCTGTTAATACCATGTACATAGGTACCTACATACATACGTATTTGGATGATCTCAAAGTAAGTGTAATTGATCGCCAAAGTTCAGTTGAAAAAAATGAAACCAACTATTACTTGTATACACTAAATAAGCTTTTTCCTATTATTCCTTTGGGATTGAAGGATTTTATTTAAAAAAAAATGTATGGTTATTAGACAAGAGTAGTATTAAAAAAAAAACCTTCTGTTTCTGTGTCCCCGTTTACTTCCTCAGTGAACATTGTTGGGTGGCTGGTACATGAATAAATTCCTAGGGTCCTTCATGATTTCTATGGTTTATCTTCTCCCCAGATTCTTTTTGTATATACAGGTCCACTATACACCAGTATAATGTTTGGCACTATGGTAAATGGACAATAAATGATTGTTATTATTATTTCAGACCATATTGTGCTCCCAGAAAGTAAACAGAAGAAACAGCCAATGTCCTTGGGGAAAACTGAGGTTGAAACATACATGCATATAGATAAACCCACACAAAAAATAGAAGATTAGAAACTGGTTAAACACTTAAGGAAAAATAAGTCACAGAAATTGAACAGTCTGCTCTAAGTAGGGCCATCTATATATAGCACTGTCTGTATAGCTTGAGTCTGGATGAAGAGTTTTCTCCAGTTAATTTCCTCTCATAGGTAGTTTTACCTGATGTTTCTGAAATGGAATCATTTATCCATTTAAGGTGGATAAAAGAAAGGTATCAATTGATTTTTTTCCTAAAATTCTCTTTGGGGAACGTCACCAGAAGTGTTTGTGATTGGTCATGCTTATGTCTACAAAGCCACCATATGGGTCCATTCCAAACATAAAAGATGGACCGAAAAGGACTGTACTTCCCACTGGTTAAGTGCTCGACCAAGTCGTTCTCAGAAATGAGTGAGCAGAGGAGCAGTGGCACTAACAAAAGCCTTTTGTCTGTTAGGCAGTGGCACCATGGATTGTATCGTGTTAGGCTTCATCAGCTACCTAATGCAATGTAAGTCTGGAGATAAGATAAATCAAACAGACGACACTATATTAGATTTGAAAGATGAGAAGTCTTCCAAAGCAATTGCAGAGTGTATATTTCAGTGCTGTTGACTTCAGGAGGTTATTGAAGTCAAAAGTCTTTGCAACAAAACCAATCTTTCAAGAGCTGGGTAGCGAGTAAGTAGAGTCATGCTTATTTCTTCCAAAGAAAATTACCTAGGAAAAAGTGGAATTCTTTTTTGTATATTTGTTTTACACAGCTGTTAGGTTTAACTTTGTTTTTTTAGTGTATCACCAGCTTAGGTGTCTGCTTTTTTCTTTTCTTTTTTTTTAATACATCTCAGGTACAAAAGTGAATGAAATAGGAGAGATGATTTTTCCATCTGTTGCTAAAAGATTCTAAGTGCAAGTGTCTACAACTATTTGAAATGGATTTCTTATATTTGTTACTCCATATCACTAGATGATTATTTACCAAGTGTTACCCAAATTTAGGAATTTAACTTTTGTTAATTAAGGTCCTGTGATTCCTTTCCTTTTAATATTCTGAAACTTTGCATTTTTTTAAGATACTTAATGGAATGTCATAAAATTACCTTAAGAGTTGGGAAACGGAAAAAAAACAGTATTGTAACTCATTGCCCTTTCTTTTGTAGCCCACTGTGTGTGAGCGAGAGCTGTGTGTGTTTGCTTTTCAAACCCTGGGAGTAATGAATGAAGCTGCTGATGAAATAGCTACCGGAGCTCAGGTAGGAACACACAGTGCTAATTAGTCCTGATTTTGATCTGAAAACTTTATTCTGATCCACTAGTTACCTTCAGTCTGCTCTGCTTTCTTCTTTTGGATACATTTTTGATAGTTTGACGGTAGATTAAAAAGCAGGCTGGCATTTGATTTTTTTTTTTTTTAAGCTTGAAACTGAATCTTGCTATCTGTATCTAGTGAGTGTTTTGTCATTTGGCAATTGCAGAGGGAAGAAATTCAGCCAACTTTCTTGTGTTTGAAAAATAACTATGATTCTGTCATGGCGAAGTTGAAATATTGAAACCCTTGCACATGCATTATGTAAAATTTATTTGTAAAGTTATAGTGCCATAAAATGGAAGCCAATTTATTTTTAAAACGTAGGTGAAAAGATAAAGGGCAGAACATATAAGAAAAAGCATCCAATTTTACAATAGCAGTGTGTATGACATAGGAAGAGAATTATAAAAACAAATGAAGCAACTTGGGAGTAAGAAGCATTCCATGTTTCTGGAAGGAAAAAATAAATTCTAAAGATGCCAGAATTTACTTCATGAATCATGAATTCCAACAAAATTTCAATTGATTTTTAAAAATTTATTTATGCAAACTAACTTCCTCATAAACCTATGAAAATAGATTTACAGATAATATAGGTAAGATAGATTAATAGAAAAATATCAGAGAAAACAAAAAAAATGAGTGTTAATTAATGGAGGCTAGACCAACCATATACAGAAAAATGCAATTCTCTATTTTATAAAAAATGTAGTACTGGAAAGAATAGGATGGCAAATAATCTCCAAAAGAGATATAGTTATAAATATACTTACCATATTTTAAAGGAAGTATCACATCAAATATAAAATTAAAATGTTTTAGTAAGTGAGATGGGAACAAATGACTTCTAACATGGGGGGCAAAACCCCCATGTTTGTAAAAACAAATTTGTAAAAACAAATTCCTAATAGCTGAAAGAAGAGTTTTGTTTAAAAATACTACATACAAACTAGAAGAGAGTAATACTAAGCATGCACAGCGTGGACAGTGTCTCAGGTTTGTGCATTTAAGCAGTGTCAAGAAATCGTAAAAAATACCAACAGATTTGAGTCCATCCATACTTTGTTTTTTACTTGAAAGAATAGTGAATGATAAGAGCTACCTATGAGAAAATTTGTCTTGCCTCAAACATAATTGTATAAAAGCACTTAAACTTGAAAAAAGAAACATGAAGACTGTAACAGATTAATAGAGGAAATGAACACTCAATTCACAAATATAGTTAGTAAAGAAACGTAAGAAAATATTCAGCTTTACTGAAATCAGCACGAAGCTAAATGTGAAGAGAATTACCAATCTGTCACTTAAAAAATTTGCAAGATGGGTGGGGGAAAATGATCATATAACAGACATTCATTCAACAGGTATCAAATGCCTACAATTAACAGGCATTAGTCCAGATGGAAGTACAACAATTACTATGAAATAGTGCAGGCCTTGTGGATTTACATACATCCTATTAACCTAATTGTTTCACTCATTAACTAAATGGAGGTACATCCACTTGAAGAACTATTAAGGAAAACAATTGTGATATAATGAATTATAAATGAATAAGAATACAGGGGGAGGAGTCAAGATGGCGGAGAAGTAGCAGGCTGAGACTACTTCAGGTAGCGGGAGATCAGCTAGATAGCTTATCTAAAGATTGCAAACACCTACAAATCCAACGGGAGATCGAAGAGAAGAAGAACAGCAACTCTAGGAACAGAAAATCAACCACTTTCTGAAAGGTAGGACGGGCAGAGAAGTGAATCCAAAGCGACGGGAAGAT